GGGGGTGATCCCCATGCACCTGATTTTTCTGACACACTTCTCTCAGGGTAACTGGATTACGATAAAGTAGTTTGGGTCCTGATTCTCACCCCATGCCACCACTTGAACTATGGGAATAACTGGTGTAATTCTTTACCGCACCTCAGTTATCCAAATCTGGAAGAGTTCTACCCAGCTCCCAACACATCAGGGAGGTGATTGTACTTGGTGGTAAACTGGGAGGGGGGAGGGGACTGGAAGTGGCCTGCTCCAGGGATGAGGGTGGGAAGGGAGGCTTCCAAACCCCAGCCTCAGGCCCTCAAGTGGCCCTGACCCCGAAGGGTATTTTAAGGCCTCCCCCGCCCCATCGCCCCTCTTCCACCCAGCCCCTCTCGCTCGCTCGCTCGCTCGAGGGCTGAAACACTCTGTTCCCACCGTCTCAGGGGGAAGGGGTGGGACAGCGGGACATTTTGTTTCCCAGAAAAAGCTCAGGTCAAATTTCAAGGACAAAAGTTAGCCCTTGGTCTGGGAACGAAAACCCTGCCAAATGGAATGAGTGGGGGAGGGAGGGGACTGGAGATCGGATTCCCCCTGCCGGGATCTGTCTGGCCAGATATGGGTACTGTCTCCACCCCGCACCCCGGCCAGGTAACTCAGACTACCTCCTTCCGTTTCCCCTCAGTCCAGAAAGAAGGGGAGGGGGGCTTTGGCACTTGTCTGGGGGGCCCATCCATCAAGCCACCCCACCCACCAGATTGGCCTGAGCAGAAGAGGGAGGTGCCATCAAGGGCTCTCTAGCCCAGAGATGTGGCCCAAACCGCTAGAAAAGGGACCGGTAGCCAGCCGGTGTTGCCATGGCAACATCCTCCCTGCACTAGATCGAAGCGTCCTATAGGCAAATCAGAGCTGGCTGCTCCAGCTTCTCCGCCCTTCTCCCGGGCGGGGGGGGGGGGGGGGGGGACTGGACGCCAAAACCACTTGGTGAGACTCAGGGTCACCATCCTCAATTCCAGCCCCTGCTGTAACAACCCCCTTTGGTATCCGCTGGAAACCGCAGACACCCCTCCTCTCAGCGGTGCCCCCAGGCAGAGCGAGAGGGCTAGGACTGTGGCTGTGACGGAAATTCACTGCTTGGGAAGAACAGGGACACAGGGAGCCGGACTGCTCCCTGCCCTCTTGTTCCGCATGCAAGTCCCCCAAACCCCCATCTTTAAGCCAATTCCAAGAAGGAGGGCTCAGCTCTGCCTTACATGCTGTAGCAATGCAATAAAATTAGCTCATTAAAAATGATAACAACTAACATTTTTGAGAAACAGATTTTCCCCTTCCCCAAACCCACAGATTCTTCCTCACGGTCCTGTTCAGAAGCAAGCCTTACTTGATGATGAGACAGATAATGGCTAACAGATACACAAGCCTACCTGGCGCCAGGTACTGACTGGAGTGAGCCTTTGCAACCACAAACGGCATAATGATCAAAAGCAGAGATGCTTGGGTCGGATCGTTCAAGTTCAAATCCTAACTCTCTCACTTCCTGGTTGACTGACCTTGAATGAATACTCTCTCTGTGCCTCGATTTTCTCATCTGAAAATGGGGAGCTTAAATGTTAATTGTATAGGGTTGCTATGAGAAAAGCATTAAAATAATATATTTAAAGTGCCTAGGACGATGCCTAGTCAGAGGTAATCATTTTTTTAAAATGTTGACCTTCTGTGGTCAATGATACTATTTTCTTTATCATACAGATGAGAAAGCTGAGGTCCGTTTCTAACGGCTCCCCGCCACCCTCCCCAGTTATAAACCCAGAGCCAGCAAGGCTGGGAGACGGAGGCACAGGCACAAAAGCGGCCCCAAGTGCAGACCTCCCGGAAACCCCAGCACCTTTGTGACAAGGGGCACAAGCAGCATGAGAAGGGAGCCCTGAGTGTGCCAGGGAAGATGCCCCTCAAGAGGAATCCTGGCAGTCTGCAACGGCTAGCATCCCGAGCCCGAGGGTGGCTGGAAAGGGGTGGGAGGAAGGGCAGCTTCTTTTGCCCACAAAATGTGCAAACCTCCCAGGCCCAAGAGAGCCAAGTGCTCCGGCCCAGTTAAGGCCAATGAAACAGTCTCCTCCTCACACGGTTTCTCAGGAAACCAGCTACAGGGCGGCCTGTGAGCCCTGGGGGTGGCTCCGGCTCCATGGGGCTGATGGGGCTGACGGAAAAGATGTCTTCGACAGGAGTGGCAAACAGCAAAAAGGGGAGGCACCTAGACCAGCCAGAGGCCCTTCGGGGGCACGCTTCTGAGCCACCCAGGGGACCTGGGGAAGGAACGGACGCGAGGACGATGCAGTGAGGCCAGTTCTGACCACCCTCTTCCTGGAGCTGCCTCGGCCCCGTGTCTGAGAGATTATTCAAGCTGCTTTTAGAAATTAGTTCAGCGCGATGCTGCTCTACAAGAATAAATCCGAAAGGCTTTTTTTTTTTTTTGGAGAAAATCAATGACTTGGAGGAGACCAAGAGAAACTACGCACTAAGACAACGCTCCCGACTTCCGATTTTTGCCAGACACTAGTTAGTCTTCTGGAGATGAAACTTGACTTTCTCCCTCCCCCTCCCTGACTCCAGGCCTCCCTGAGGCCCAAGACGCCCCAAACCAAACTCCTGGTCATCAGCGGCTCCCTGGGGCCTCCTCACCTGGGAGGGAACCGTTTTCTACACAGCGAGGTTCGGCTCTGGAAAAATCCTCTTTCTGAGAGAGGGCTGGTGGTTTGCTGGAAAGAGAACCTGATTCTCATCTCGGCTCGGTGCCTGCCTGCCTCCCTGGGTGACCTTGGGCTGCACACAGGCACGCCAGGGCTTTCGTCTCTCACACACATACACTCACACGCATTCTCTCGCGCGCACGTCTGAGAGAAAGAAAAGAAAAAAGGATGGACAGGATGATGTCTAGGTCGTTCCCGAGTGAAAAAGTTAAGAACTTGGAGAAACCCCGGGGGAAAACATCCTGTGGACCCTTTGAAAATTCTCCAGTAGTACACGAAGTGACCTGTTCTGACTTAAGTAAAGTCACCGTGAGTCACCTTGCAACGAGCAAGAGTCACCAAGGTGCATGACCCACGGCATGAAGCGCGACTCTGGGGAAAAGCCTGGCTGTCCCCGCCATGGATGCTCCCACAATCCCATGCGCTTGCCCAGCCTGCGACTCGAGGCCCAAGTGGCCGGTGGAACTTCAGGAGAGCCCCTGACCATCGAGTCAGGGGTAGGGGAGCCAACTCACGGAGGCCGCGGGGCTCCCTCCCCCAGCCCCCCCATACCAACCTGATTTCTTCTGTCTGATGTTGCTCCAGTGGAGGCCACGGTATTGGAGAGCCCCCCCCATTCCTCCTCACCTTGCCTTGTCCAGCATGACACAACCAATCTGAGCTACATCAAGGAGGCAGTGAAGCCCTTGAACCTCAGTTATGTTTTTTCTGTAACAGGGTGATTCTGTGCAACGGCTCTGCAGGAACCATCTTCACCCCACCCCCTCCTCTAGGTCAACAGCAAGACAGGTCTGCCCAGGTCTGCCTCACGCACCCGCGTTCGTTCACTGAGCCGACGGACTCTTCCGGAGAACCTTCTCCCCTTCCCCCCACCTGCCCCTGCTCCAGCAAGAAGATGTGAGCCTTCGTCACCCACGTGGCTTATCAGACAACAGGTTGGCCGGGGAGTCGTAAGCAAGGCCCATGAACTCTCTAAAACTACGGACAAATTTTTGTGGATGTGCATATGTGTATTTTTTTGAGAGATAGTCCATTTTTTCATCGGGTTCTCAAACGTGCCCATGTAGCCATTTTGCTCCTCCTCTCCACACATGCCCTCTTCCCTTCTGCACCCTGGTTTTATGCAAATACTCTCCGACGTTCTGTTTACAAAACACTTTTAACTCCGCCCTAGTGTCCGGGGCGCCGTCATCCCATTTTACAGATGAGGATATGGAGGCCGGGGTGGCCTGACTTGCTCAAGGTCACAGCTGGTAAGTAGAGAAGCGAGACTAGTGCCTGGTCCCGACTCCCCAGCTGGCACTCTTTGGGGAACTCGCGGCCAAACCCTCTAGCTTCCCCACCTGTTGGGGAAGTCGCTGCCACAGGCCAGAAGCTGGTCCTTCTGCGCCCTCTGCCTGGTCCCAGGGCCCCAAAGAGCAGGTTTCCCTACATTTCCCCGCCCCTCCGGCTCTTGCTGAGGTTGCGCGCAGGCCAGGGTGCAGAGGTTCGGGTCGCTGGCTGGTACCCGGGTTCGGCCCACCTAGAAGGGCTTCTCCAGGGACAAGAGCACCCAGGGTCAGGGGCACACTCCAGAGAACACGGAGGTCTAGAGTTGGCGCCGCCCTACGTCTACCTCCAGGACCAGCGAGCTGGAAAGGAGAGGATAGGCCGTCACCCAGCCAGCTCCCCCTACTCCATGGCCGGGATCCGCTCCAGTCTGATAAAAAAAAAAAAAAAAAAAAAACCCGGAGTCCGGAGACCCCGCCTCTAGGAGAAGCGGAGAAGAGACGAATAGGGTACTAAGGCCCTGGGCCGCAGGGCAGGGGGTCTAGGGCAGGGAGCCTCTGGATGCAGCCGAGACAAAGATGGAGAGTTAAGGTCTGCGCGCTGCCTCCAATGGCGGGGGGCGCGTCGGAGCCCCAGGGGCGCGTTGGAGCCCTAGGGTTTAAGGAGTGGGTAAACGCAAGAGGTTCAGGAAGGGTGATAAGTCCGATCCAGGGACAAGACGGGGGCATCCAGTAGGCGCAGGTGAGTAGGGAGAGCCGGGTCCAGGCGACCCAAAGGACCCACCTGCGGGAAAGCGGTGAATGAATGCAGAGGATCTAGGGGTCCCTAGGGGGCGGCGGAAGGCTAGAAGGCATCGCCTCCCGGAAACCCTGAGGTCCTGTGGGTGGGAAAGAAGACCCTAGGGCGCATCCTCGAGAGGGGTTGGGGGTGGGGAGGAGAGAGAAGCCACCTCTAAAGGAGCACCGGGTCGGGGACGGGGCCTCCGGATTTGGCCCCTTGGAAGCTTACCCGCGTCCTCATCGTCGAAGGAGTTCATGCACGGGAAGTAGATGGCGAGCGCCTCGAAGGAGGCGGACAGGCTGAGGCGGCTCTGGGAGCGCTCCATGCCGGCGCCGGCGCCGGGCGCCTCGGCCGCGGCCGCAGCGGCGGGCGGCTTGGGCAGCTTGGCCGCCCCATTCTTGACGCGGAGTACGGCGCGCGGCGTGGTGGCGGCAACCCGGGGCCAGGCCGGGGCTCCGCGGCGGGGCTGGCGGGGGCGGCTGGGCCGGCGGACTGGCGGGCCGGGAGCTGGCGGTACGCGGAGCCCGAGGCGCGCTGCGCTCCCGGTGGCAGTGGCGGTGGCGCTGGCGGTGGCGGCGGTGGCGGCGCAGCGCGCTCTGGCCCGCGGCGCCCCCCGCCGGCCGCGCGGGGCGGGCTCGGAGCCGCCGCCGCAGCAGCCAATGGGCGCCGCCCGGGGGAGGGGGTGCCGCGCGCCGGGGCGTGGGAGCCTGGAGGGCGCGGGCGCGGCCTCTCCGCCGCCGGCGCGAGCCCAGCAGGTGGGTGCCGGAGGGACGAGAGCGCCAGGCTGTCTGCGACCCGATCCCGTGGCCCTGCCATAACGCCATACGCTGCTCTCAGACTGGTCCTGACGCAGGCATCCAGTCACCCACCGAGACAGGCCTCACCCGGGGACACAGTCTCAGAAAGGGCACACTCAGAGCAACCGGCAGGCATGACCCTCAGATTCACACGTGAGCCCATGGAAGATCTCAAGCAGGCACCCACTCTATTGCATTCGCTCTGGAAAATGCTCCACAGCCACCCTCGCTCACAGAGACACCTGCCGAACCAACCACAGACTCCACACACCCAGAGACCCACCTAGTTAGATACAACTGGAGACACCCACAGACTCAGACCCACACCGGTAGGCACACCCGTGGCCACACACAGACTCGCACCCAGAGACTTGGCAACACAGAGGGGCTTCCATGGACACCCTTGGCCACGCAGTGAGACCATCAGATCCCACACAAACCCACAGAGAAGCTCAGACAGGCGCCCACACTCTCGTGCACCCGCTCTACTCACAGACGGCCCAGAATTCACACACACGGGCACTCTCGGACTCAGATGATATACACCCTCAGACCTGCAGAGATGCTGAGCCCGCAGCCCCCGCCCTGGCACCCACAGCGCTGATTCACGCAGACACGCAAACACTGGCAAACATTGTCAGACCCACACACAGTCACCCTCAGGTGCAGACCCTCCACGAGAGACACTCAGACGCACTTCAGCGGGCACACACACACTCACACGGAGACACAGCCACATGCAGACTTAGTCACTCCCAGTGACAGATACACTCTGATGCACAGACACACTCAGACTCGCACACAATGTAACACACTTGCCAAGCTCACACAGACACGCCGCATGTACACCTTCAGGGACTCACGCACAGGCTCAGACACTCAGAGCTCCCAGTCGGAAACTCAAGCTCCATTCCCTGGCCTTGACCAGCACCTGAGGTCCCCACCAGGTCAGGTCCCAGGCGTCCAAGGTCTGCCAGCTGCTCTGACACCCTCTCTGTGAAGCAGCCTGGGGCATGGCAACATTCCACAGTTTCAATCCCAGCTGTGGCACTCTCCTGTGGGACCTAGGGCAAAGCCCTTGACCTTGCCTGCCTGTTCCCTCCTCTGTACAATGTGGATAGGACCCTCCATTGAACGGTTGGGAGGATTCAGTGAAATAAGTCTCTACTGCTCCATAACAAACTACCAGGCTTACAAACAACACCTATTTATTAGTTTACAGCTCCATAGGTCAGAAGTCTGAGCACGTTCAACTGCATCTGTTGCTTAGGCCTTCCACACAATGTAACCGGAGCCGAGATATCAGCCAGACTGGGCTCTTAGCTGGAGGCTCTGGAGAAGAATCCGCTTGCAGGCTCACTCCTTCGCTTCCTTGTGGCTGTAGGACTGAGGCCCCTGTTTCCCTGCTGGCCATTGGCTGGAGTCACTCTCGGCTCCTTGAAGTGGTTCTCTGGTCTTTGCTCATGGTCTTCTCCAACTTCAAGGTCATCACAGGATGTCAACCATTTCTCCTCCTTTGCCTCTAACTTCCCTTCTGCTTACTAACTTGAGAAAAGTGTACTTTTAAAGCATTCTTGTGATAAAGTCTTCCTGGATAATCTCCCTTTGTTATACAATGTGACATAATCACAGCAGCGATATCTCATTATGTCCATAAGTTTTACCCACATTCCAACAGGAAGGGCTTGTACCAGGGCCAGAATCTCCCGGGTCATTCTAGCAATTCTGCCTATGGCAATATGTGAAACACCTAGCTCAGTGTCTGCAACAGGTAAATGCCCGTGATCCCTCCCCTCTCCCCAGGAACCACACCTAGCTCGCAGGCAGCCTGCTGTGGAGATTAGGAGTCAACCCTCCCCTCCCCCACTCATCTTCCCCAACTTGGTCACCGGCAGCTCCATTTTTCCCACTGTTGAGGCCATAAATCTTGGAGTTATCTCTGACTCCTCTCTTTCCCTCACCTGCCACATCCAATCCATCAGCAGTTCCTATCAATTCTGCACCCGAAATGTATCCAGACTCTGACAACTCTTCCTCGCCACCCTCCTCTTACCACCCCGAGCTAAGCTCCTGTCTTTTTGCACCAGAGTCTTGCAGCGTCTTCCTCTCTGGTGTTCACACTCCTGCCCTTGGCCTCTACAGCTCACCTGCATGCAGCAGCCCGAAGGACCCCGAGAAAACAAGCCAGAGGCTGCCTCTCCTCGGCCCAACACTCTCCCGTGGGACCCATGAGCAATGTCGGACAGACCAACGATGAGCCAGCCTTTGCAGGTTCAAATTCCAGCTTTTCCACTTACCGGCTGAGTCCCCGTGGTGGCTTTAAAACATGCGTACACATTCTTTGTCCTCCCATTGAGAAGTGAAGTCTATGTCCCTGTCTCCTAAACTGGGTCAACCTTAGGGACGGGCTTGTAACCATGGGATGCAAAGGAAGTGATATGTAGACTTCTGAAGCTAGGTCAGAAAGCTTCCTGCCGCTCCTTTCTGGCTCACTCAGGCTACCCACTCCGTAGAGAGCCGGCCTCCACACAAAAAGCCTGGACACCCTAGATGGTTGTGCTGGAGAGGTCTCGGCAAGCTCCGCTGGCCTCCTAGCCAACAGGGATGTGGCATGTGACTGAGTGATCTTGGGCATCCCACTCCCACGGAGCCCCAGCTGACATCCGAGGGCAACTGCATGAGAGAGCCCACCCCAAATTCCTGACCCACGGAATAAATGGCGGTGGTTTTACCCCCCTAAGTTTCGGGATGATGTTATAGGCCACAGTGGAATAGTAACCTTGAGGGAGGGAAGGAGCCTCTCTGGGCCTCGGTTTCTTCAACTGTAAAGTGGCGACAGTGCCTCACAGTGTGTCCTCATGGGCTGGGGGACAAATGCAGAGTTCTCAGAACACTGCCCAAACGCAGTAAGTGCTCCGTGAGTGTGAGCTCCTACTAGGAAGCACAGGACAGCCCCATCTGGGTCGAAGGCAGACGTCAGCGCTGGAAGGATCAGAAAGGTCATGCACCTGCCTCTTCTGGAAGAGAGGGAAACTGAGGCCCAGGAGGTGCAAGGGCCTGCCTAATGCCACACAGCACATTGGGGCAAAGCTGCGGGCAGGACAGAAGCCTCCTGATGGAGGCCAAAGCTTTCCCTTCTGCACTCCAGTTGCCTACTCACCTGGCAAGAGCGGCAGGTGGTCCCCAAAGCTGACAGCGTGGAGGAGGAAGGGCAACCGATGAGGCTGACTCAGCCTCTGGCCAACAACCTAGGCGGGAAGCTCCTGGGGCGATCTCTCCTTTCTTGGTTAGCTCGTGCCCACCAGCAGGGTTTGCATCGTAAGCTGAACTCTTTGGTCCCTTGCAAAGATGTCATTTACCCGTGGGAAACCCACCATTTGCGCCTGAGTATAAATAGTGTTCTATGGACAAGACGGACGGTAGGGGGTGTGCGAGGCGGGTGCAGGGTGGGGGGGGGTGCTCAGTGCAGGAAAGGGACGGGGGAGAAGTCAGGGAGGCGGAGATGCCAAGGGCTACACGGCTGCGGGGACTGGAGATGAAGAGGTAGTGCTTGCCTTGGGTGTGTCTGTCCTTATGTTAGCTGGGGGACCTTGGAGGGGCCCCCTCACTTACACGTAGAATCTAAAGAACAGAATGGAAACAGACTCATAGACACAGAGAGCAGACTGAGGGCTGCCTGATGAGTGGGGCTGGGGTGCTGAGTGAGGAAGGTGAAGGGACTAGGAGGTGCGGATTGGCCAGTACCAAACGGCCGCGGGGATGTGGAGCTCAGCAGAGGGAATCCGGCCGGTAACATCATGAAACAGGGCCAGGTGGGCACTTGCATTATCAGGGGGACAACTCTGTACATTGTGCAGTTGTCTGATGCAGTGATTTCCAACGTTTGTCATCTCATGGCACACATAAACTAATTACTAAAATTCTGCTGCACTCCTCAAAATATACTTTTGCCAATCTGACAAAAAAAAATAGGTGTAATTTTGATTCATTCACACCAGATGGTTATTGTCGTGTTGGCTGTTGTCATTTTTCAATTTGACAGTCTGAGGGAAAAGAGGTCAGTGCCCCTGACTAAATAATCAAGTAGGACATGTGTTAAAATTGGCCGGGGGCGGTGGGTACCAGTGTTCCTCTTGCAACATGCCCGTTGAAAATCGCTGGTCTCACCACTGTGCTATATACCTGAAACTAATATAAAATAATATCAAATATCACCTGTCATAGAAAAAATTTTAAATTCTTAAATGAACATGATTAACCCTCACTTGGCAAAGGCATGGTGAAGATGAGATGTCACTTAATAGATACAGTCACTGAATAAATATTTCGAGTGCCACCCTCTGCTGGTCATTGTGCCCAGCAGTAAGAACCCAGAGACGGATAAAACAGACTTGGTCTCTGGCTTCCTGGACTTCACAGTCTAGCAAAATTAAATAAAGACCTGTGCCAGTAATCGATGGCAACATTGTATAAAGGCTTCATTATAATAATAATTTTAATTATAATTGTGTCAACTCTCATGCAAGATTTATATCTGTGTACTTTATAATGCAT